ACTTTTAAAGTAAGTTCTGTCACCTCATCCTGATTTCTTTTTTTAAAAAAAAGTGTCATCTACACTGGACAAAGGTAAATTAACTCTGGATTTTAGAGGGTAACTAAAGCATCACGGTTTTTCTAGACAGTACAGTGATTTCTTTTTTAAAAAAAAAGTGTCATCTACACTGAACAAAGGTAAATTAACTCTGGCTTTTAGAGGGTAAGTAAAGCATCACGGTTTTTCTAGACAGTACACTCGCAGATATGTTAGAAACGCTCTTGCAATGGCTCTTGCAACTCTTTCAGTTATAATGAAAATGAATTAGAAGAGATCTGCTGTAGGAACTGAAAGCTGCTTGCTACTAGTTATTACAATTCCTCTTGCAAACACTCACTCCTTTTTCTCCAAGTTATGGAGTAAAACCCCAACTGACACTGGACATCAGCATGAAGCTTAAAGAGTTTGACTTCTCAGGGACAGTATAGAATTCCACCCTGGACCATGCTGTAGCTATGGAAGGAGCACAGGAAGGGGAAAAATGTCTTTTCTTGAGAGATATAGTAAAGCACAGTTGAAGATGCTCTAAAGAAAGGGTGCTGGATGGAAAGACTTTTTTTCTGTCTCACCCTAAGCAGAGCTGATCAGCTGGGTCAATATTCCTTGGAGGGACACACAATGAGCTTGAGAAAAGTGTGAGCAACTGGCTAAGGAATCAATCCACCATGGCTCACCTTGAAATTCTCGAGGAAGCCTCCACTGCCATTCTCTATCTTGTCATCCTCCCCTATGGGTAAACCCATCATACTGCGGCTGCGAAGCTGCAGCTCCTCAAAAAGGCTCTCCAAGAGGGCACTCCGAGTTCTTTCCTGCATCAACATTGGGAATGAAAACGCCGCTGTTATTAGAAGTGGAGGGATTTTTTTTGTTTTGTTTTGGCAATGTCTCACATCCTCCTTAAAAAAAAAATCACCATGAAAATTACTTTAAACAGTATGAAGTGATTTTAGCAATACAGTCATGGAATAAATTACAGAAAAACCCGGCCCTTTTAAACTCTTTCTAAAGCAAGTCATAAAGGACATCAGTACTTTTTTACAGGTGATGAAACAGAGGCATGTTTTTTCTAGATCAGGCAAGCAGCAGAGTCTGGAACAGAATTTTGGTACCTTGAACCAAAAATCAGTGATCTCAGTGCTCATCCTGTACCACAATAGCAAGTTTCAGCTAATACAGAATTTCCTCCAGCAAAATGTATGCATTGTGTTTTCATTCCTACTTGAGGATTAGATCTTTACATTACAATGTACCTGTTCACATTCTATCACACCTGCTGTGGAATACAAAGGAAGCATCATATGGCTGAGTATAATCACATTTCATCTTCCTTTTTTAAGCAACAGAAAATTAAAAGTAGAAGAAAGTAAAAAATTGTACTGTATTTTCTTAATCTGGGAGTAATACAGTTTTATAATTTTTAATGGAAGCAACCAGGTAATAGACCCACCTCTAATTTAGCAAATTTCTCAGCTCGATAGCAGCTGTACTCAGCATTGATGAGCTTCACCAGGAGGAATTCACGAAACTCTGCACTCTACAAGACAAGATGAAGGCTAGACTGGAGATTAAAACAGTAATAAAAGTATCACATGAGAAAAGTTCTGCCTTACTGTTCTTTAGACCTCCAAAGTCACCTAGCCAGACTGACCATACTGACTCAGAATACAAGGGTGTGTACCATATCCCCCTGCCCTCTAGCACTGGGCCAGAGAAACAAACCTTTTTAAATATGGCTGGATTTGGCAGAGGGGGTCCAAAGAAGGGGACATCATCTCGGGCTGTGACCGAAACCTGAAACAATAAAAGAGGGGGGAAAAAAAAAAAAAAAGAAGTATTGTAACACAAGTGAGACTATCAAAGCCTTCGAACTGCTATGGTACATCTGATCTCTTCTGAATCATTTACATATCCAAAAGAGATTTAATATGTTGTCCTGTGCATCCATCTGTTTCTGAACTCAGTGAATGGATGTGCTGGTTTATCTCCCAGAAATTCAATCAGCTAGATGTGCACCCAGTAAGGGTAACAAAAAGCGACTGAACCAATAGCTCTTTTAAAAAAATATTTTTAATAATAACCAGTGTATTTAGAACAAAAAAGTAAGATGCTTCTATTCAGCCTGCAAGATTTACCTCCACTAGAAGAACCTTTGTCAATATGGTTGTACTGACCTATTTTTTTTTTTGACAGAGAATCCTCAGTGGAGATACCCTCCTCACTGTGCAGTTTATCTCAGTGACACCACCTCTCCGAGTCACATGTGGTAAACATACAAAAGCAATTTCCCAGTAAGAGATAAGGAAATGCATGGGGGGTTTTTTGTTTTGTTTGGTTTTTTGGGGGAGTTGGTTTTTTTTTTTTGCTTTTTAAAAACATACTGCTACCTGACAAACCAATGCCAAAATAAGTAACTGTAACACAGTCCCCTTTTTACATATTGTCACTTGGCTCTTCACAGCACTTAGAATTATATGCAGCTATCTTACCAGATACCTACAGCACTTAAGAATATTTCACAGTTTGGGTTTTTTTGTCATGTTTGAGATGGAACAATACCATTATTTGCCATTTCATACAACAGGGAACAATGTCAAAACAACTTAACAGCAACTGTCTCAAAAAAACACTCCAGTGTAAATGTCACAGAGCCAATGACAGGCATGAGTTTAATGCGAGGAAGAAGGAAAAGGGCCCTCGATTTAATTCAGATTTCTCACATTGTAGGCCAACTCCCCTAATTACAAGGCCTCCCTCTCCCTCCCAATAGATATCTACCAGTTAAAATCCTGCTTTTTGTTTTTAATTTTCTGATTGCAAAAATTGATTCAAAGAAATAAATGCCATTAATATTCCAATTTAACCACTAGGCACTAAAGTTTGAGTACATGGAACAATGAATGGGAAAAAAAAAAAATCTTCCCGAACTGCAGTCTTTGAGGTACTCGGATGCTCTCAAGGTAGAATGAGTTAGAACTCCTTTGGAAAAGCCTTTACAGAAAACTCTGCATTGGCTCTAGGGTCCTGACTGGGACTATTTGTTTTTCATGAAGTGAATCAAGCAACCCTATTACACTGACAAAAACAATGGCACTGCAGACAGGCAAAGATGAAAACAATAGTAGGAAGAGGCAAGACAAATGGCATGCTTCTCCAGCTCTTTCTCTTGTCATCAAAAAAAAAAAAATGCAGTGAATTTCTGCCACCCTACAAAACAGAGAGCGAGAGGAGAACTGGAAGCCCATGCCCCTGATCAACATAAGGCTATCATGTCACTACAGACCTGCCTGCCCATAGCATAGGCACAACGGAAGGTGGTTGTTCCACCTCCAGCACCTTCTTTGGTGGGAGAGGAGATGGGGATCCTGTCCTAATTTTTATATTCTTGGTGTTCTTGTAGACCTTCAACGCCCTCAGACACATGGTGTGAATTTTGGGGCTGTCCTGCACAGAGACAGGAGTTGGATTGATGATCCTTGTGGGTCCCTTCCAACTCAGGACATTCTGTGATTCTATAAGGACTCATCATCACCAAATCTGAATTCCTACCTAATACGAGACATAGCACTTTGATTAAAATGTTTCTACAATGGAAACTCCATCACAGAATGCAAGCTTCTATAGATTTTCTGCTCTCTCAGCACGACTGAAAGTTGAACATAAAGTTATACAGACATCCATACAGAGTCATGTGACAGAGAAAGAGCTGCATCCAAAGGTTGCAGATAGGGAATTCACGTTCTAGCAGGGCTTCTTTCAACCGGAGGGCCCTAACAGGTAGCACTTCCCTGCCAGATGGGCATCAGTTCTGGGATCCCCAAGAGCAGACGTAGCTGGTTCGGATCCCGTAGATTAGACCAACCAGCTGTACCTGCCCTGCAGTCTCACGCAGTGCAAGCTCTCAGCACTGTGCTGTGCAGCGTAAGCAATGCAGAGATGGCTGTCAGGCAGGTGAACGAGTTTGACCTGATATCTATAATGCAAGCAAGACACCCCCAAAAATCGGATCAATTGCACCTCGTGCTTTTTGATGTAAACAAAAATTTTTTTTCTGAGCTCGTCCTGCTTCAATTCCCAAGTTTTAAGCTTCAGAAATTCATCAGCTACTTTCACAAACATACAACTACGTTCTAGTTTCATGTGTAGATGCTTCACAAATTAGGATAGCAGCTGGCTGAACCTGTACCTTTCCCAAAGGCCCAAGAACTGGTTTCCACTGCAAGGATCAATGACAGTAAATCAGTACAAAGGAATCTATTGGCTCTGTTTACCTTGTAGAGAGTCTCCCCAGAGGTGCCATGAGTGAGCTGAACTACCACATAAGCGTGTAGGAAATTAGAAGCAATCATATCAGGAACAAAAGGTGTGCTTTCATCCTGGAAGATGATGGCTACAATGTCATTCCCAATATGACGCTTCCGCTGAAGCTGGAGAGGAAAAAAATAAAGCAAGAAGACAGGTGAAAAAGAGCACAACAGTACGATGGGGCCTCCAACACCAGTCTGCCTAGCTTCTCCAACCCATCTGTTCCACCAAGCCCCCCATGACTACTGCTACCATTACTCCAGCCATAATTCCCAACATTATGCAGTCAGGCACTCTCCCCTCTATGCAGTCCCTCATCAAATAACCCCTCCTCTCTTAGCCACACTGTTTTATTCCTTAGTTCTCCTTTCAGTACCTGCTGGGAATCTCCCTCTGTGAAGGGCAGCTTTGTAGACACATGAAACATAATCTCCTTGCCCCGGAAATTTGTATAGACTGACTCAGTGCCCGTTTGACCTCTGGTAACATCCAAGCCTCCCCGGAACCTGAGCAAATCCATACCATGCCATAGGTCAGGCAGGACAGAGATGAGAAACCAGAGAAAAGAAAGACGATATCAGCAACAGTAGCTTGGTATCAATATTATCAAAGGTAATTTTTAAGAAATCGGTGATAGTGAGGCACCAAATCTTCCCAAAGCAAATGCACTGACTGAAGCTGCACAATGTTTCTGCTGACGAAGGTACTTGCTTGCTAAAAGCTATGATGCTAAACCAGGGATCCTCAACTTTCTTTGGCATTCTTCTGAGAAACACAATCCTAATTTTAGAACTACAAGAAAGATAGACTGCCCCACAGAGAGAAACTAAAACAATACTGACCCATACCATTGTGAAACAAACTTACATTCGCACAGTCAAATAAAATGATTCTTTACTGATATTGTGGGTCAGACTGAGATACCAGGAAACCTTTAAATGACAATACCAGAAGAGACCTAAGCTCCAGGCAGGATGGCTAAAAAAGCATTCTGGGCTCCTCCACCTGCACTGGGATTCAGAGGACATATCACTTTTCTGAAAGCAGGGCTCTAACAAGGTCGCAGCCTCTGAACACACGGCATTCCCCAACTCTATCTGGCTTTACAACTGCGCTGGGTACGCACCCACGGAAATCCTGCAGTTGAATCTTGTCACCAAGGAAATCCAAGAACTCCAGGAAACCCAGACTCTCTTCTGTGTTACTGAAGACTTCTTCTTCGGTCGTCTTCAAAAGGAAAGGAGGAGTCATAAGGAACACAAGCAGTACAAAGAACAGGCAGTAATTTCTAGACACAGTTCAACCAACTTTGAGGACCCGCACAAACAGATCGATCAACGTAAGGCAAGCTTCAAGCCTTTCTCTTTATGGCACCTGTATTTTTCACAGGATAGTACAGACCTTGTTATTACATTTAAGCTAAGAAAACTGACTCTTTGTGTTTTGTCTCAAGTATGGTGGGATCTGAGGGAGCTTACCTGTCCAGGTTTCTGGTAGATGACCCCAAATTTGAAGTTATTGCTTATGACATGTTCATCAAACGCAACAATAAGCTGTGAAGCCTGAGGTAATGAAAATACAAATTATCAGTTGGACGTCATTAAGACAGACCTTGATGGAAAAGGGACATACAGACATATGAGAACATTATACCTTGGGGTAGAGGACAGGAAAGAAGCGTTCAACATTCACATCCTCACAGAGTAGCTGTCGAGTGAGAGAGAGAGAGAGGGAAACAGAAGTGTGATTATCACGTGCCCTAGCATGCTGTGGGCATGAGAGCGTAGGCACTGTTTATAACTGTCTGACAGGAGTCCCTTCAGGCAAAAATTCTGAGGTAACATTAGAAGAGAAAGAAGGGAAGCTAAATGGAAGTGTAAAAGGGAAGTATATGACAGTACTATTGGGGAACAGTAGAAAATAGGGAAATGGGAGGACAGAGGTGAAAATAACTTGAAAAATGAGGCGTTAAGTGCGAACAGGCACACACAAATCTCACCTTTGCCATCTGGACAGCATTGGGAAACTCATTCAGACAGGAAATGGGGATCAGGTCATGTTTGGTGCCAGTCCGAGTCCTGACCCAGAACAAAAAAGGCATTAGAGCAAAGGCTGAAGGGAGACACAAGCAACACTGGCTCTTTAAAGGAAGAATAGCCATTCCTTCAGATTATCCTTAAAGCAGTTAATTCCAGAGGATTAATTTTAAGGCTGGTACATAAAATCACTGGAAAAGGGAGGTATTTACACTTGTTCTTGCTCATCACTTCTTGTGGGGAGCAGAGGAAGACCAAACAGGAATGCTTCGTCTCTTGCTCCCTTCCGTTCTTTTCTTGCTTGAAAAAATATTTTGCTTCCTGCCCATCCCCAGCCATTTTCTTTCATAGAAATCTAAATGTTGAAATAAAATTCACGGACACAGTACTATAATGGATTCATAAGATCATAAAATGAAGGTTTGAAAGACTGTTAAAAGGTGTGTTAGAGACAGCCTAGGAAAGCAGATCTATGCAAAGTACAGGAGGGAGAAAATAATGCAGCATTGTTGCAGAAAGCTGGTGGAGAAAAGCTTCCTTTCTCTATATACGTATATTAGAGGAGAGATGTCTTTCTAAGACGAGAAGAGAGAAGAAATATTGGGCTATCAGAGTCCTCTTCAAACCATTATAAACAAGTTATTGAGCAAAAGGTGCTGCATATAATATCATATCTTAATAGAGGAATTACTACCCTTTTGTTCTTCACCAGTCTCTTCCATGTAGGAAGGTTTCTGGGCTCAGATAAACATTCCCTGGCACAGCTCACAAACGGGCTCTCTCTTTCCCTCCCCTAGATTATTGCTCTGCCTGGCACTCTGAAGTGTTCTCCATACACAATGGAGGAAACCCACCAGTGATTCTCTTGTAGCTGAGTCCTATGCAACCACTACTTTCCCTCAGTCCTGGGTGAGTCCTTGTCAGCAGCAGCTATATGTCAGTCGGTTCCAGTAGCATATTGCCTACTGGAAGTGCACCCAGCCCATACTGTGGTAAAAAGCTTTTCTGCAGCGTGCCTCTCACCAATGCAAGATCCATCTCTGTTCTAGTTCATTCAGCAGCTCTCTCTGGGTAATAGCTCTCTGTGGAAGCCCTAAAAGGTTATGGTACTTTGTAGGCTGTCCTGGGAAGCTAAGGAATGTTCTAGCTCACCTTCAAGGGAGCCTTAGTCTCAAGTACAAAGTTCAAAGACAGGCCTGGGCTAGGCTGCCCTCCATCGGGGAATCTATGTTCTCCTAGAGAGTACTCGCATGTCTCTAAGTAAACAGAAAAGCTTTCTTTTTGAAGGAAGAACAGATGTTTTTCACACAGGAACTATAAAGATGCGCCTGCAAACACCACTTCAGCTTCCTGAAGGGAATTGCTGAGAGAAACTCAGAGGGAAAGGGAAGAAAAGAAAGCTTCTTTGCAGTCCTCTCCAGGAGAAAGACACGAGAGTCACTCCCACATCTATGCAGAGGAAGGTCCAGGTAGGGTAAGAGACACAGTACAGTAGCATACATTTCAACAACAGGCACTGTTACCTCAGCAACAGTCGTAGATTTTCCTGTTTCTCGATCTGTTCATACTTCACAGAAAGTACCAGGTAGCCCAAGGACATGTCACTGGAGTAAAAGTTCTGGTGCTCCTGCAAACAGGAAGCCAAAATGCATTATTCCCAGCACACTTCCCAGAGAAGTTTACCAGATTTTCTGCATAGAACCTGTCACTCAAGATTAGCTAATTTTTTAACTAGCAATGACATGCTTAAAGACATGCGTATGCTGTCTCCCAGCCCCCTTGTTGATCAACGCATGAGCACATCAGTCAAAATTCATGCACTGTCAGTTCAGATCCTCCTCAGCTGTCCATCATCAGAAGGGCTCCTGAGAAGGAATAGGATGAGAACATTCAGCAACACATTTTGAAGAAATCAGGTTTCTTTAAATAAATTTGTATCTTTAATAGACTTGCCCTGTATCCATTCAGACTCTGCATGACTAAATAGTGGTCACCAGCGCATTCAACTGGATGCAGCCGTAGGAGTTTTCTATACAAACAGTAACGGCAGGATCATTATACCAAATGGTTGATCTCTAAGAGCACTCACATCTCAGGGAGGATGCAGTCAGAGCTCCAGGTAACTACTTTGCAGATGAAGGCTGTTCTCAGCAGTGCCACCAACACTGCTTGAGCTTTAGTGGAGTGTGCCTCAAACGGAGAGAGTCATTCAGTCAAACAACGAACCATAACGCAAACATTTCCACAGGCTCTATATAAAAGTGGCTGTGGCCATACATTTCTC